TCTCATCCAACGTCAGTACCTGACCTCAACCCTACTGAACACCTTTGAGACCAGGTCTTCTCATCCAACATCAGTATCTGACCTCAACCCTACTGAACACCTTTGGAATCAGGTCTTCTCATCCAACGTCAGTACCTGACCTCAACCCTACTGAACACCTTTGAGACCAGGTCTTCTCATCCAAACATCAGTACCTGACCTCAACCCTATATGTGTATATACACACACACACACACATATATATATATATATATATATATATATATATACACACAGATTAAAATAGAAAACTGTAGCTTAAAATTGAATAAAAAACAATAATACCAGATGGCTTGTTTAGCCATTATATATGTAACATTTCTTGCTTTTTTATGGAGTTGATGGATTATATTGCGCTATGTAAATGCTCACAAGGACTAGTCTGTATTTTCAGATGCAAACCGGTTTGTTTAATAATCTGTGGGATTACTGAAGTAAGCATTAGGGCTTACCATTTCTCATCCTATAACAACAATAAAATGCTTTTCTTTCCATGTTCATGTAAAACAAGTCACAAGATGACAAAGGAATAGAGGAGGTACGGCTAATTTTGGCCCAAGGGGCAATCAGTATTGAGAGAACCAGGGAGTACGGTACCTTTTGCCTATGGAATTTGCCCAGGATTTACAGGAAGAATAGTGACAGATAGCCTTGATGTCTCAATCGTTTTATCCTACTACACAACGGTAATGGCTATGCCAAGATGTGTCAAATTAAAATTCATACAGGCTGATGACTTTAATGAGCCGCGTGTACAGATCCTATATATAGCAAAATGTATTTTCTTTCTTAAAGTAGATGCAAACCCTAAATGCGTTTTACACCAGCCCTACAATGGTTGCCCAACATATTGTCCAATGAAGGCACACCCTAAAGACAAGGCAATTTGGCTTGTGTCCTATCAGTTCAGTTCAGACTACTGTACTGTACTGGTATGAATTAAAAAAAGTAAGACATGCTACTTTTTTTAGTGCAGCATGTTACGCTGCACTGCATTATAATGCATTGCAGTGAATTAAGATGAATGAGGTGTAATTTTGTGTCATTTTAATAAAACTGAAACAAAAGCATCATTACAAGGCATCAACACTGATCCCTTCACAGCACACACCAGCTGCCATGGTACAATGCAGCCGCTGACGGGAACGAGCCCTAAATACTGAGGTTAACCTAGAGTTTGCTTGGGGTTTCTTGACCAATGAGAAACTTCTGACTCAGATATAGAACCACTGATGCCAATTCTATTTTAAGCTATCTGTAAGGGGAGAATTCTTCCCCCTGTCCACCAATGCAAAGAGCATTCTTCCCAATGACCCCCAATGCATGGAGTATTCTTCCTACTGACCACCAATGTAAAGAGCATTCTTCCCACTGACCACTAGTGTAAGGGACATTCTTCCCACTGACCACCAATGTAAGGAACATTCTTCCCACTGACCTCCATTGTAAGGAGCATTCTTCCCACTGATCACCAATGTAAGGGACATTCTTCCCACTGATATCACCAATGTAAGGAGCATTCTTCCAACTGACCACCAATGTAAGGGACATTCTACTCACTGACCACCAATGTAAGGGACATTCTTCCCACTGACCACCAATGTAAGGAGCATTCATCCCACTGATCACCAATGTAAGGAACATTCTTCCCACTGACCACCAATGTAAGGGACATTCTTCCCACTGACCACCAATGTAAGGGACATTCTTCCCACTGATCACCAATGTAAGAGACATTCTTCCCACTGACCACTAATGTAAGGAGCATTCTACCCACTGACCACCAATGTAAGGAACATTCTTCCCACTGACCACCAATGTAAGGAACATTCTTCCCACTGATCACCAATGTAAGGGACATTCTTCCCACTGATCACCAATGTAAGGGACATTCTTCCCACTGACCACCAATGTAAGGAACATTCTACCCACTGACCACCAATGTAAGGGACATTTTTCCCACTGACCACCAATGTAAGGAACATTCTTCCCACTGATCACCAATGTAAGGGACATTCTTTCTACTGACCACCAATGTAAGGGACATTCTTCCCACTGACCTCCAATGTAAGGAGCATTCTTCTCACTGACCCCCAATGTAAGGAGCATTCTTCCCACTGACCTCCAATGTAAGGAGCATTCTTCCCACTGACCACCAATGTAATGAGCATTCTTCCCACTGACTGCCAATGTAAGGAACATTCTTCCTACTGACCACCAATGTAAGGGACGTTCTTCCCACTGATCATTAATGTAAGGGGCATTTTTCCCAATGGTCACCAATGTTGGAAACGTTCTTCCCACTGACTACCAATGTAACGGACATTCTTCCCACTGATAACTAATATAAAAAGCATTCTTCACAATGATAACCAATATAGGGAGCATTCTTCCTTCTGACCTCCAATGTAAGGGGCATACATCCCACTGACCACCAATGTAAGCAGCAGTTTTCTCACTAACCTCCAATGTAGGGGGCATTTTTCTCACTGATCAACATACTACTGTACCGTGAACTGTAGACATAGTATTTATTACCAGTGGTTCTTGAAAGTTATTTTCAAGGGTTCCTCCATGATAAAAGGGTTGTGAAAGGCTGTTTTAGACAGTTGTGCACTTCAAACCATTTGGGAAAGGTCCTTTCCTGTTCCAACATGTGCACAAAGCCAACTTCATAAAGACATGGTTTGACCAGTTTGGTGTAGAGGAACTCAAGTGTCTTTCACAGATACCTGACCTCAACCCTACTGAACACCTCTGGGATGAATTGGAAAGCTAATTATGGGCCAGGTCTTCTCATCCAACATCAGTTCCTGACCTCAGCCCTACTGAACACCTTTGGCATCACATCTTCTCATCCAACATTAGGACCCAACCTCAACCCTATTGAACACCTTTGGGATCAGGTCTTCTCATATGACATCAGGACTCGACCTGAACCCTACTGAACACCTTTGGGATCAGGTCTTCTCATCCAACATCAGGACCCAACCTCAACCCTATTGAACACCTTTGGGATGAGGTCTTCTCATTTTACATCAGGACCCAACCTCAACGCTACTGAACACCTTTGGCATCACATCTTCTCATCCAACATCAGGACCCAACCTCAACCCTATTGAACACCTTTGTGATCGGGTCTTCTCATCTGACATCAGTACCTGACCTCACCCTACTGAACACCTTTGGGATCAGGCCTTCTCATCCAACATCAATACCTGACCCCAACCATACTGAACACGTTTGGGATCAGGTCTTCTCATCCAACATCAGGACATGTCCTCAACCCTACTGGACACCTTTAGAATCAGGTCTTCTCATCCAACATCAGTACCTGACCTCAATCCTACTGGACACCTTTAGAGTCAGGTCTTGTCATGCAACATCAGTACCTGACCTCAATCCTACTGGACACGTTTAGAATCAGGTCTTCTCATGCAACATCAGTACCTGACCTCACAATTTATTGATTTTTTTTGCATAATGGGCACAAATACCCACAGACATATTTCAAAATCTTGCAGAAGGCCCTCCCAGAAGAGTGGAGAATGGGATGTCCATCAAGCTTATGTAGGTGTGATGGCCAGGTGACCACAAACTTTTTGCAATATACTGTACTTTTTTACTTTTTGCCATATACTGTACTTTTTTATGGATGTCATATCAAAATAAAGGTGGTTGGGGTTTTTCCCCAGTTTTTTGATTTGCCAGTTTTCCTCTTAAAAACATACACATGGTGACAGGTGGACTATGAAACAGACATCCAATCCTCAGGTTTATTTGGTTGTAAAATACAAAGTATGTAAAGATTACATTGTATGTAATCTGTTGATTAGAAAAAATACCTGTATATATACTGTTGGTTGAACTGCATGGACTTGTCTTTTTTCAACCAGGTTAACTATGTATACCACATGAATCAATAGTACCACTTTCTCTATGAAAACAAACCCCAGGAGTAAGCATCTTACATTGTTACATTTTGTTTTATAACAATCTATATAGCTTCATACAGTATTTTGCATTTAAAATGTGTATAGAATTATGTGGAAGTGGCCTGTATACACTAATCTATTCCTCAGTGAGCCACAGGGCTTTTTTTTTCAGCAGGAATGCAGGGAAACGCAGTTCTTGCCCCTCCAGCACTGAATGTTTGTATTGGCAAGGGGTACTGAGCTGTGCTGGGGGATCTCTTCAATGAAGATCATCATTCAATGACTATCCAAAAATAACATACTATATGAATATAATACACATATAGATATACTAGAGGACAAGGGGGCGCTCTTTACGTCTGGAGGAAAAGAAAATTTAATCTCCAAACACGGAAAGGTTTCTTCACAGTAAGAGCTGTGAGAACGTGCAATAGACTCCCTCAAGAGTTGGTTGTGGCCAGCTCAGTGGATTGCTGTAGGAAAGTCCTGGATTCTTTCTTAGATACACAGAATATAACTGGATATAACATTTATAGGGAAAGTTGATCCAGGGAATATCTGATTGCCTCTCGGGGGATCAGGAAGGAATTTTTTTCCCTGCAGGAGCAAATTGGATCATGCTTTGCTGCGTTATTTTTGCCTTCCTCTGGATCAACTGTGGGTGTAGGAATATAACTTTTTTTTTTTAATGGTTGAACTGGATGGACTTTTGTCGTTTTTCAGCCAGACTAACTATGTACACAAAAAGAGAGTAATTGAACTATTGTACAAATCTTGTAGACTTCACCACTGCAACATCTCCAAGAAGAACGCCCGTTCTTAACCTCAGAAACTACTAAGCAACTCACTCACTCCCTGGTTATCTCTCGCCTTGACTATTGTAACTCCCTCCTCATTGGCCGACCTCATCTCAGGCTATCCCCTCTTCAGTCTATCATGAATGCTGCTGCCAGACTCATCCACCTTACTAACCGTTCTGTATCTGCCACCCCTCTCTGCCAATCCCTCCACTGGCCTCCACTCAGTGTCCTCCACCCCTCTCTGCCAATCCCTCCACTGGCCTCCACTCAGTGTCCTCCACCCCTCTCTGCCAATCCCTCCACTGGCCTCCACTCAGTGTCCTCCACCCCTCTCTGCCAATCCCTCCACTGGCCTCCACTCAGTGTCCTCCACCCCTCTCTGCCAATCCCTCCACTGGCCTCCACTCAGTGTCCTCCATCCCTCTCTGCCAATCCCTCCACTGACCTCCACTCAGTGTCCTCCATCCCTCTCTGCCAATCCCTCCACTGGCCTCAACTCAGTGTCCTCCATCCCTCTCTGCCAATCCCTCCACTGGCCTCCATTCAGTGTCTACCATCCCTGTCTGCCAATCCCTCCACTGGCCTACACTCAGTGTCCTCCACCCCTCTTTGCCAATCCCTCCACTGACCTCCACTCAGTGTCCTTCACCCCTCTCTGCCAATCCCTCCACTGACCTCCACTCAGTGTCCTCCACCCCTCTCTGCCAATCTCTCCACTGACCTCCACTCAGTGTCCTCCATCCCTCTCTGCCAATCCCTCCACTGGCCTCCATTCAGTATCCACCATCCCTCTCTGCCAATCCCTCCACTGGCCTGCACTCAGTGTCCTCCACCCCTCTTTGCCAATCCCTCCACTGACCTCCACTCAGTGTCCTCCATCCCTCTCTGCCAATCACTCCACTGACCTCCACTCAGTGTCCTCCACCCCCCTCTCTGCCAATCCCTCCACTGGCCTCCACTCAGTGTCCACCATCCCTCTCTGCCAATCCCTCCACTGGCCTCCACTCCGTGTCCCCCATCCCTCTCAGCCAATCCCTCCACTGGCCTACACTCAGTGTCCTCCACCCCTCTCTGCCAATCCCTCGACTGACCTCCACTCAGTGTCCTCCACCTCTCTCTGCCAATCACTCCACTGACCTCCACTCAGTGTCCTCCATCCCTCTCTGCCAATCCCTCCACTGGCCTCCATTCAGTGTCCTCCATCCCTCTCTGCAATCCCTCCACTGGCCTCCACTCATCCCCTCCCCTCTGCCTCCACACTCAGTGTCCCCCACCCCTCTGCCAATCCCTCCACTGGCTTCCACTTAGTGTCCTCCACCCCTCTCTGCCAATCCCTCCACTGGCCTTCATTCAGTGTCCTCCACCCCCCTCTGCCAATCCCTCCACTGGCTTCCACTTAGTGTCCTCCTCCCCTCTCTGCCAATCCCTCCACTGGCCTTCATTCAGTGTCCTCCACCCCCCTCTGCCAATCCCTCCACTGGCTTCCACTTAGTGTCCTCCACCCCTCTCTGCCAATCCCTCCACTGGCCTCCACTCAGTGTCCACCATCCCTCTCTGCCAATCCCTCCACTGGCTTCCACTTAGTGTCCTCCATCCCTCTCTGCCAATCCCTCCACTGGCCTCCACTCCGTGTCCTCCACCCCTCCTGCTTCCACCACCCCTCTCTGCCACTGGCCTCCACTCCCTCCACCCCACTGGCCTCCACTCAGTGTCTTCCACCCCTCTCTGCCAATCCCTCCACTGACCTCCACTCAGTGTCCTCCACCCCTCTCTGCCAATCCCTCCACTGACCTCCACTCAGTGTCCTCCATCCCTCTCTGCCAATCCCTCCACTGGCCTCCACTCCGTGTCCTCCACCCCTCTCTGCCAATCCCTCCACTGGCCTCCACTCAGTATCTTCCACCCCTCTCTGCCAATCCCTCCACTGACCTCCACTCAGTGTCCTCCACCCCTCTCTGCCAATCCCTCCACTGGTCTCCACTCAGTGTCCTCCACCCCTCTCTGCCAATCCCTCCACTGACCTCCACTCAGTGTCCTCCATCCTTCTCTGCCAATCCCTTCACTGGCCTCCACTCAGTGTCCTCCACAACTCTCTGCAAATCCCTCCACTGACCTCCACTCAGTGTCCTCCATCCTTCTCTGCCAATCCCTCCACTGGCTTCCCATTGCCCAACGAATAAAATTCAAAACACTAATACTGAGGTATAAAGCCATTCATAACACTGCCCCAAATTACATCACCGATCTTGTCTCTAAATATCACCCAAACTGTACTCTCCGCTCCTCGCATGACCTCCTGCTCTCTAGCTCCCTTGTCTCCTCCTCCCATGCTCTTCTCCAGGACTTCTCCAGAGCCTCCCCATCCTCTGGAACTCTCTACCCCAATTTATCAGACTATCGCCTACTCTGCCTACTTTTAGGCGATCTCTGAAAACCTCTCTCTTCAGGGAAGCCTATCCTGCCCTCAGCTAATAATGGAATCTTCTATTCCTCCTACCAGTCCATCCCCCACAGTTATTACCTTTTGTACCACTAGCCCCTCCCTCTTAGATTGTAAGCTCCTGGGAGCAGGGCCCTCCTATCCCTCTTGTATTGAACTGTATTGTTCTGTATTGTCTCCCGTTATATTGTAAAGCGCTGAGCAATCTGTTGGCGCTATATATAAATCCTGTATAATAATAATATATATATTGAAATATATTTTGAAATATATTGAATATGGCCAAAATTGTAGCATTTCAAATATATGTCAATATATTTGGGAAGAATATTTTTAAATATTTATATATTTCAAATATATTTTTCTCCCATGTGGGCCTGAATGCCAGGGAAACTGCTAAATGCACAGTTGAAATATATAAACTCGCCGTCCCTCCTTGATGTCATTGGACATTCCGTTATTTGGCTAATACAAGTCAGCAGGATGTATCTAATTATGTGTTATTGTTCTGCTCTGCCCCTGCGTGGGCGTATCTTGAGCTTGCTTCTTAAAACAAAACTTTCTTAATAAAAATATTGAAACAGAAATACATAAACTCACCGGCCACTTTATTAGGTACCCCTGTACAATTGCTCGGTAACACAAATTGCTAATCAGCCAATCACATGGCAGCAACTCAATGCATTTAGGCTTCTAGACGTGGTGAAGATGACTTGCTGAAGTTCAAACCGAACATCGGAATGGGGAAGAAAAGGGAATTTATGTGACTTTGAAAGTGGCATGGCTGTTGGTGCCATACGGGCTGGTCTGAGTATTTAAAAAAACTGCTGATCTACTGGGATTTTCACGCACAACCAGGGGCAGACTGACAACTCATGGGGGCCTCCAGGCAATAGGAGATCATGGGGCCCCTGTGTTCTTTCCCACACTCAAAGCACACCCAAAAAAGCCTATAAAAGGTACCAGGGGCATTTTATGGGGCCCCCTACTGACCCCGGACCCTCGGTCAGTCAGTCTGCCCCTGCGCACAACCATCTCTAGGGTTTACAGAGAATGGTCCGAAAAAGATAAAATATCCAGTGAGTGTCAGTTGTGTGGAGGAAAATTACTTGTTGATGTCAGAGGAGAATGGGCAGACTGGTTGGAGATGATAGAAAGGCAACAGTAACTCATGTCAGGTGTTTCCAACACCTTGTTGAATCTATGCCACGAAGAATTAGGGCCGTTCTGGAGTCAAAAGGGGGTCCAACCCAGTACTGGCAAGGTGGACCTTTTCGAGTCTATGCCATGAAGGCCGTTCTGAAGGCAAAAGGGGGTCCAACCCGGTACTGGCAAGGTGGACCTTGTTGAGTCTATGCCATGAAGGCCGTTTTGAAGGCAAAAGGGGGTCCAACCCGGTACTGGCAAGGTGGACCTTGTTGAGTCTATGCCATGAAGGCCGTTCTGAAGGCAAAAGGGGGTCCAACCCGCTACTGGCAAGGTGGACCTTGTTGAGTCTATGCCATGAAGGCCGTTTTGAAGGCAAAAGGGGGTCCAACCCGGTACTGGCAAGGTGGACCTTGTTGAGTCTATGCCATGAAGGCCGTTCTGAAGGCAAAAGGGGGTCCAACACGCTACTGGCAAGGTGGACCTTGTTGAGTCTATGCCATGATGGCCGTTTCCAAAGGCAAAAGAGGGTCCAACCCGGTACTGACAAGGTGGACCTTGTTGAGTCTATGCCATGAAGGCCGTTCTGAAGGCAAAAGGGGGTCAAACCCGGTACTGACAAGGTGGACCTTGTTGAGTCTATGCCATGAAGGCCGTTTTGAAGGCAAAAAGGGGTCCAACCCGGTACTGGCAAGGTGGACCTTGTTGAGTCTATGCCATGAAGGCCATTCTGAAGGCAAAAGGGGGTCCAACCCGGTGCTAGCAAGGTGGACCCAATAAAATGGCCGGTGAGTGTATATGGGAGCGTTCTTCCCTGTCAAGGATCGGCATTTCAGTTCATCCACTCCTGAAATGTATACACCCCTAACAAACAGTACAGCCAGCCTGCTGACCCAAATGTTTCTTCTGTAGGTGAGGCATCACAGCTAGTGTACATCTCTGTTCTCAGTCTGTGATTGGACAGTAGAGGAACAACAACAGCCCAATAAGGTCATGCCTATGCTCTTTCCTCCAATCAGAAGTTTTATTGTCCGTATACGTCAATGCAGAACACCTAATTGGCCCCTCTCAGTCCGAGGGCTGTTGTACAAGGGGTTACATGAGGCTGAAATGAAGTCAAAGTCACGTCATTATTCTAGTTGCGTGTAAAATAAGCAGAACCGGAAGCAAAAAATAAAATCTTACAAACAAGACGACCTCCACAATGCAATAAACTAACATGCCTCATCACAATCCTATGCATAATGTACACAGAACTACGCATGCGAGTGTGCCGGGATGAGTGACTCCCATACATGTGCGGGAATGTTGTCACCTGGTGCCAGTCAATCAAGACGGCCAAAGACAGGCATCTAGAAGAAGGTAGGGAGAAGATGCTGGTGGCGGTGGAGGAGCTCATGGGAAGGGCTGCTGATAGAAACCATAAGGCTCCATACAGCCAACCTGACATATTGTGACGTATTCATCGGACCCTTCCCCCAATCTCCATCCTGAAGGATCCTTTTTGTGTGCTTGAAGCTGCTGGAGGGAAGGAGAGGAGGTAAGCCGGCACTGTGGGGGCCCAGGCAGCTGGGTGAATCAGATGTGCACAGGAAGGGTGATCGGCATGGTAATTACTGGAACCGATTACCTGTATGGCCTTCTCAGCAGCAGCTGAGAACCAGCAGGAGGGAGAAGAGAAGAATCCAGCCTTCAGCTGCTGCAGAGAGAGCCATACAGAGCATCGGTTCCAGTAATTGCCCCCCTACCGTGCCGATCACCCTCCCTGCCCACAACCGATTCACCCAGCTGCCTGGGCCCCATACAGGAGGACTGGGGGTATCCCCTTATCCACAGCCCTGCTTACAGGCATTAGACCTTTGGAGCATAGGTAAGTATTCCTACCTTTTGTTCCTTATTAAATAAACGCACAACTGTATTTATTGGTGTTTTTTTTTAGTGCCTGCATAGAATTCTGCTTTAATGGGAACCATTTTGGTTTAACACCTGCTCTATGTGCGATGCATTGTGAATGGAACCTGAATCATTGTAGAGTAGAGTCCAATAGACCCAGATGTAAGAAAAATATATTAGAAATATATTTTTAAAATATTCTTCCAAAATATATTGACATATATTTGAAATACTATAATTTTGGCCATGTGCAATATATTTCAAAATATGATTCAATAAATATATATATATATATATATATATATATACACATATATAAATATAAATATATATATATATATATATATCAGGGGCGGACTGACAACTCATGGGGCCCCCAGGCAATAGGGGATCGTGGGGCCCCTGCAGGGGCGGACTGACCATTTGGAAACTCGGGCACGGCCCGAGGGCCCGGGGTCAGTAGGGTGCCCCATGAGATGCCCCTGGTACCTTTTTCATAGGCTTTTTTGAGTTTGGGCAAGGACACAGGGGCCCCATGATCCCCTATTGCCCGGGGGCCCCATGAGTTGTCAGTCCGCCCCTGGGCCCCGATATTGGCTTGCGTCCGTAGAACAGGGGGGCTGCGCGGTCATGGGGCCTTTGAGCTCTCAGGATGGTCACTGTCACACCAAACTAGTCACCTTTCATTGCTGAACGTGGCTAATTATCAGGGGCGGACTGACAACTCATGGGGCCCCCGGGCAATAGGGGATCATGGGGCCCCAGGGGCGGACTGACAACTCACGGGGCCCCCGGGCAATAGGGGATCATGGGGACCCAGGGGCGGACTGACAACTCACGGGGGCCTCGGGCAATAGGGGATCATGGGGCTCCTGTGTCCTTGCCCAAACTCAAGAAAGCCTATGAAAAAGGTACCAGGGGCATCTCATGGGGCCCCCTACTGACCCCAGGCCCTCTGGCAGTGCCCGAGTTGCCAAATGGTCAGTCCGCCCCTGCAGGGGCCCCATGATCCCCTATTGCCTGGGGGCCCCATTAGTTGTCAGTCCGCCCCTGATATATATATATATATTAATTGAATCATATTTTGAAATATATTGCATACGGCCAAAATTATAGTATTTTAAATATATGTCAATTTATATATACTGTATGCTGAAATGCATGTTTATTACAAAATATATGAAAAATATTTTTAAAAATACATTTTCAAATATACTCTATGTCTTTAAAAATACATGTAATCAAAATTTTTGGAATGCATTTACAAATATATGTAAAAATATATGTTAAAATGACTTTTTTTATATGTTAAAAAAAATCTGAAGAGTATATTTAAAAAAAAATCTATATTTTTAAAAATATTGTTCTTATATTTTTGCAATATATAAATCTCA